CGTTGCTGCCTGTGATAGAGAGGCAGCAAGGCAGAGGGCAGGGGGGGAGGCAGTAGCTGGAACTCGTGGGAAGCCAGCCTTCATGCTCATACACGTATCAGCTAATGCAGTGCCTACTGCTTCGGCGCATGGGGGGGGTAGGCCGGAGTCGATACACGTGGAGAGCTGGCTTTTAAGGCTCCGCGGAGCCTTCTTACTCTCCGCCCCACCCCACCTCAACATTTTGCCATAGGCAGCAATGGGGGGAGGGGGTGTATAGGCAGGAGCCAGTGCTTGAGGGCAGTTGGCTTAAAATTCCCCTCCCACGGCCCTCCAAGCACCAGCATCTGCCTGCATCCGCCAGAGGCAGCCCCGTGGGATGGGAGGACAGGGGAGGCTGCTCCATGGGATGCCAGTGCAGTCTCTGTCTGTGGGGAACATAAAAAAGTTTTTCCTGCCGGGCGACAGAATGACGTCATCACGCTCTCTCAGCAAGGCAAAAGTAGCCAGAGAGAGGGAGTAGGCGAGTGCAGCAAGGAGAGGGCGCAGCCCTCTAGTTATTTTTTAAATTCATAATTTTTAAACCACTCGCATGCTTTTGGCTCTTGCTTCCTGATTTTTGATTGCCTGGGGGTGGCCATACGTGGGCTGAGTTGAGGTGGCACTGTCACATGTCATGATACTGTCACACTGCATGCTGCTGTTTTGAAGAAAGAGATGTCGTCACTGACTGTAGGAAAGCTAGGAGGAAAAGTCTATTAAATGCTGACCTGATCAGCATAGGAGACCTGAGAAGGTCGAAGGCTTTTCCATCACAGCTTTGCTGATACACCTCAGCCCTGATCTACAACACTCACCTGCTATCCCAGACCTGAACTCCCACACTCAGTTCTGCAGATACACCTCAATCCCAACCTACAGCCACTACCCTCTAATGATTCCCATCTGATCGTGCCCCTGCCGTGCTGTAACTACCAGCATTTTAATGTTATGCCAAAGGCCAAAATTGGGGCAAAACCTCATCCTGGTGGACTTAAGAAAAGGAATAACTGCAGTGCCCTGAATTCATTTCTTTGGGAAGATTCATTTCTATGGGATTATTTACCGTAGCATTCCTGACATAAGTCATTTGCAGTAATAAGTAGACGACTGCAGCCCTGCATGTAGCACAGAGAGAATGAGATCTAAAAAGAGGGCCAAATGCACGTTAGCACTTGCTAATGAAAATTAAAATAGTCTTCTTCAAGCCCCTAACCCTGTTAGATGTTTCTACAGCAAGGCCCAGGGAAAACGCATCCGGATGCTCCATTTTTGGCTTGATTTATTCTCCTCTCATTATTGGTCTGCAGCTGCTGTGCACAGGAGTCATTGGGATGCATTTCACCATGTCCTGCTCACTGCTAAAAGGCCTGTCTCTTATAATTTCTGTTCTGTTTATCTTTTCCCCAGGAAGTTCAGTGGAAAATATGCATCTTGTGATGAAGGTCTGTCAGCTGTACTGGAGCCTTTTCAAGCACAGCAGCAGCACAATGTAAAGGCCAGAACGTTAGTATTGTTATGGTTAAGTTAGAAAATATTGGGGCTTTTTAAAAGTCTCCAAAAACTGTAACCAGTGCCAAGATCCACAACTGGCTGGGAACGGGCAGCAGTGAGCTGGACTCCAACATAGGCCCTTCACAATAGGGGGAGAAGAAGGATCACAGTCTTCTCTCCATGTGCAACCATCACCTAGGGGAAAGGGGACATTTCGTTCCTAGTCCAGAGGGGATGGGGCATGTCAAGGCCACAGATACAAGACAAGGATGGCCCAGTGATTAGGGAATTAGTCTGGGACTTGGAAACCCCAAGTTGAATTCCCTGCTCAGTCACAGACTCCATGGTTGACCTTGGGCACATCCCTCAGTCTCTTTGTGCCTCAGTTCTTCCCCTGTACAATGGAGAGAATAGCTCTGCCCTAAATCACAGGGGCTTTGGGAGGCACCTCAGACTCTTGGGTAATGGGGGCCATATGAGTATCTTAGCGATCTATCTGGACAGACAGAAGGAAGGAGACCTGCTGTCCACTTCTGCCTTTCCCCCACATTGCTTGTAACCTCCCATCGTGTTTCTCCTAGACTGCCTAAAGGTGCTGCTTGTTGTGAGGCCGGATGCTTCTCGGAGACACAGCCAGTGCATCCAAAGAGCTCCCAATCCCTCTCCAGTTACACACCGGATCCAACCAATGGGCCAGCCGGTCTCTTGTCCCACCTCCAGCACTGGCTATCGCTGATGCTTCAGAGAAAGGGTCATTACTCCATGCAGTGCTGTGATTCCTTCGCACTCTAGTGTGGGTGACTTGAGTTTTGAGTTCCTTTTGTTACCACAGCACTGACTTAAAATGTCAGTGCTGATGCCAAAACAAGCCATTGTTTTTATCCAGCAATTAACTCTCTGGCTTTCTGAGACTCTCACGTGCAAACTCCCTGCTAGTTGAAGAGTTGGTGCTTTTAAAACTCACTTGTCTTTTGGATGGGAAACCATCTTCATCATCCCCATGTTACAACTGGGGAGATGCTGCTGACCTGGGTCATGTAGGAAGCCAGCAGACGAACTGGGCTGTACAGCCAAGTCTCCTGACTCCCAGTCCTGTGTCCCATCCATTCACTGCCACTTTGTCTCCTGATTGCACCATGGTGGCCTGGAGTCTGGACGGACGGGGGGTGAGGGGACCGAGGGGGAACTAACATTCAGTGTGTGACCCATGAATGGGCTGTGTGGATCCCCCCTTCCAATTTGCTCATCTGACATCCTGGAGCACTTCCTCCCAAATGCAGGCCAGCTATTAGCATGATGCTCGCATGTCTATTTAGAGCGCAATTCAATGAGAGGGAGTCTCTGCTATAAATAAACGTGTGCGCAGAGATGCAGAGGTGATGCTGAAGCTGGAGAGTCAGATAAAAGGGAAGCTGTTTTCTGCACGCTGGAAATTAGCATTCCTGTGCCACACTGCTCCATGCTGCTGCTGAGCCTCTTAGAAACCACAGCCGCCCCAGCACAATCTGTCAGACCTAAAATCAAACAGGATGCACTAGGCACTATCCTGTAATTTCCTTTTAATAATACATCACAGGATGAGCTCAGCAGCCCTCTTCTATTCTTCCACCTCCTCATTACAGCCTTACTCCACTTGCCCCATTTAGAAATGGAGCACAAATTAAGGGAGCACTAATCAGCTGGAGAAGAGATATTAATAGCCTGGACCCCACTCTCCCTCCTCAGCCCACCACCTCTCCTCTGCTTCCCCAGGCTGATCTAGGTGAAGGAAGGAGATGAGGTGAGGTTACTTGAGGAGAAGCCCACAGAAGGCCCCTGTCCTGAGGCTCAGCTGCAGAGCTGCCTTGGCTTCTGCTCCCGAGTGCCGGGCAGTGACTCTCTGTGTTTGTGTAAGGCAGTGTGTGCACATGGCTGTGCGCCCCACTCTTCCTGTGCTGGCTCCCCATGCGGCAGGTTGTGCAGGGTGCTGCAGTCCACTACAGCAGTCTCCTGCTCTGCACTGTTCTTAACGTGCAGGGGCAGTCCAGGCAGCTCAGGAAGCAGGAAAGTTGTTTTCAGTGACCATGCCCCTCAGCCCTCTGCAGCAAATGGGGGCTTCGGTAGATCATACAATCCTAGGGCTGGAAGAGACCTCAGGAGGTCATCGAGTCCAGCCCCCTGCTAAAAGCAGGACCAACCACAACTAAATCATCCCAGCCAGGGATTTGTCAAGCCGAGACTTAAAAAAAAAGTTTCCACTGATGTTGGTGGGAACTGGATAAAGTCCATAACCAATGGTCAGGAGAGAGAAACCCCAGATTGCTCTGCAGTCTCTGCTGCACTTCTTTAGCTGGGGTTGGGGACAACATAGCATTCCCTCACCCTCCCCAGACACGGCTACTTTCTCATTCCATGGGGAGGAGGAGAAAGAGAGAAACCTGGGAAGGAAGATTTGCCCCAGAGTGATAATGCTGCTTGGTGGCCTTTGTCCTGGGCCAAGGAGCTGAGTGACAGATGGTACCTGAAGGAGCTCAGAGTCGTCTGTGCTGTACTGGCTAGACTCGGTCTCGGAGCGCTCAGCGCACCACTGCAGCTCACTGAAGCAGCTGGCAGAGTCAAGGTCACTGGCATCCAGTGGAGACAGGTCAATCTCAGGGAAATCGGAGTAGAAGTGCTCCTCGCTGCCACCGGACACCTCGTACTGTGAAGAGATGAGACAGGTTTAGCTGGGCATCTTCTTCTCTACCCACCAGCATCAGACGCGCCTGAAGCAGCCCTCATGTCATGGAACGCCTGTCTCTTACACAGGGGTCAGGCTGCATCCGACCCAGGGTGCCCAAACTTTGTCTGACCACGGTCTGCCTTTGCAACTGTCCACAAGCCCAAGGACCAAACCCTGTCTTCCTAAAATGAGATTTCAACAGACTTCAGCTTGGATGCAGAGATGTGGCCTGTAGAGATTTCACCTCCCAGCCTGCAATATTCCATCTCTATTCAAGTGGCTGGGATAAAGACTGAGCTGGGAGCTATAGTATTAATAGGATACCCCCAAAATTAAAGTTGAGAGCAGCAGAGGGAAGCATTACTGAATATCCTGGGTCAGATTGACCCCAGGGACAGCTTTCTGGCATATGGCCCAGTTTGAAGCAATTACACTGGAGTAAGATCTAAGAGGGGATTCTCTTCATTGTGAACTTTGCCAGTCAACTGGCTGTGCCCACATCATTTCAAGTTCACATGAGGAATGTCAGAAACACTCTTGCAGGGCAGCTAATTCAAAAACTGCCTCAAAACTGTGCTCCAATATTTACACGCAGGTTGTGCCAGTGTCACAACAGGGTGCCTTTGCAAGGGAGTATCGTGGTCTCCTCTAGCAATCACAAGCTCAAAACCATATTGGGCGCTGGCAAAGCAGCAGTTTGTGTTCTTCAGAGTAACTTAAGCCACTGAAGCCCTTGGTGACATACTGCAGACATCCAGGTCTTATCCTACTGCCCTGATAAGTCAGCAACAAAGGAGGAGAGCAAAAGGCTTACAGGGCACATACAACAGCCCGGCACTGGGAAAGATTTGGGTGGACAGTTTCACAGTGAGACAAGCCTGCTTTTCCATATTCCTAGTCCATCTTCCTGCCTGCCCCTCTCCCTCCCCCCACTCGTCCTTGACTCAAACTCTGTAACCCCAGCCATCATCGTTTCACCCCCAAATTATTCAACCTTCAGTAACAATCCTGTAGACTCAATTTCACAGTCCCCCTGCAGTTAAGTCACTGAGGAAGGCAACATAGACTCTTAATTGCCTCTCTCTCTTTCCATTGTGTCCAACCCAGCGCGTGCACACTCTCTCAAAAAACCTAGTGCAGAGACGAATCAATTCCTGGCGCACACAGGCCAATCTAAGCTCTAGGAACAGAGCTAAAAATATCCATTTAATCATGAAAAGCAGCTGAGACCTGCCCCGTTTCCACCTCCTTCCCGATGGCTGCTTGCTGCAAAGCCACACGGCTTTCGGAGGGGCAGAACGTAGGACTGTTATAAACCAGCACAAGTGGCCAAGAGAACGGTCCCACTGACATTATGCCAGTGCCCTGCCAAGCAGAGATGGTGGGTATGTGGAAGGCATTCGCTGGGGGTTGGGAAAGAATGTTTAAAGCAAAAAGTGGCCCAGTCAAATGTTAACTTGAAAATATGCCATGTTGTATGGGTGTCTCAGTCAATGTGCCCCAGTTATTGAGGGGAAAGAGGAATCTTCTCACTACTGACCCTCTTCTGTTCCAGCTGCACCCCACTTCCCACCCTGCACCAGACAGGGTCTTATGCCCTGCACAGAAACCTGCCTGGCTAATGCAGGGTATTTGAAATTAGTACTTCGTTTGACAACCCTGAAAGCTGAAGGCCTCACCTCTGCACAAGGAGTAGGCACAGCCCCATAGAGGAAGCCTGAGCTTCCCACACACCAGTACTACCTATTGCAAATGGAGTCTCCCCCTGCACTTGGGTGAGTATCCATCAGACTCGAGGCCTATTCATACTATGATTCTGACTCTGCTTAAGTCAGTGGCCCAACTCCCAATGACTTCAATGGAGCAGGCTCTCAGTCCTTCCCTTCTGTGCTAGGGGCACCAGCTCCTGTCATGCTGTTTACCGCAAGTCATTAGTTGGTAATAATTTCTGCCTGCCTGTACCAATGGCCAAGGAAGAATTTAAACCTAGACATGAAAGGTAGGACACAATTCTTGCTGATATTGGTTAATCAGTGGGTGTTTACTGATGCAAAGGGAAGCAAGTTTGTTTATACAGTGAGTGAGTGCATTTCAGATCAGACAAATGTTTGAGCATCTGAGAAGCCGTGGAGAGAGAAAAACATCCCAGGCACTGCCTTGAAATGCCCTAAATAATCTTTTCATGATTCAGCAAATGGAAGCAAAATTGACTTCACAAGAAATGGGAGAGAGCGCGTCACTATTTTGTTAATTGGGATAATCTGGGTTTACTGATCCAGTTCCTGAGGCGGGGGAATGGGACTGTGTGTCCTGTCTGTATTTTCCAGCTTGGTTGAGGACACTGTGTTCCACAAGCACTGAAGGGTTAAGCCCTTCCAGCTTCCTTTTCTTTTTATCAATACCTCCCCAGGGGCTTGCAAGGTGGAGCAGCTACCAGGAGCATTCTCAGTGGATTTCATGTAGTTGGGCACCAGGGCCATGAACAGACACAGACCCCAACTGCGCACTATAGCAAGGCTATAAGTACCTTCACACAGCAGCCCTTGTTCTGTTCAACACAGGGCAAAATTCCACCAAGCAACAGAGAAATCAGTTTCAAACAATCAATGCCTCTGAAAGTACTTTCCCCATCACCTGTCCTTCTGGCAAGACTATCTCTGTATGGTAGGGAGCACCCTCGTGCCAAAGGATCCCGGGTTGTTGTTTTTTTACAGCTGCAGGGCCAAGCCCCCTTTCCTGGCTACCCCAATGGAGTCAATGAGCCAATGATTCAAACAAGTAAGGCAAACAGGATTGGGCCCATTGTGATACCTCTAGAATGCACCATCACATCAACAGAGTCCATCAAACGCCAGAAACAAACTGCCTAAGAGTGGAAAGGAGAAATGCTGACCAACCACACCAGAGCAAACCCATTCTGAGCTGCAGGATCTTTAAAGTTCATGCAGGCCGGCCAGAGCCTTGACTTTCAACTCCTTTCCCCACAGGCCTACCACACTAGAAACTGCCCACATTCATTTAGAAGGACAAAGGTCTAGGCCAGTAGTCACCAGCCGATCAGGATCTACGGGTAGATCTGACAGGTGATCCTGACTGGTTTGGCTGGGAGGCTCTCAAGTGCTGGCACTTCAGTTGCCCCTCCATCCCCTGTCATGCTGCTCCTGCCCAAAGCTTCAGAGCTGCCCCCTGGAGCCTCCTGCTTGTTGTGCAGGGCAAGGTTGTCACGCTGCCCCCCTCCTCTGTACCCCATCTTCAGAGTGAGGGGGCGGGGCCTCGGTAAAAGGGTACAGCAGGGGTATTTGGGTTTGAGGTAGAACCTGGACTGACAAATTCAAAAAGTGATCTTGTGCTTAAGAGGGTTGGAGACCACTGGTCTAGGCAAACCCCTGGGTCCAGGGAAGCAGAGGGTTTCAAACCAGAAGGAGCTTCAGATTTCCCTTAATCCAACCTCTTACCAGGGACACAGTTTCCTGCCTCTGCCCTCCCACTTCCTGCATCTGCTCTAGGATAGCTCTGGAGCAGTAGTGCCCTTTGGGCCTTCAGATTCCCCCCCATTACTAGTTATGGTGCAGGTTCCTTCTATGTTTCTTGTTTCTGCCCCCAGAAAATGTCTGTTTCCTAAAACTGCTGACTCCCTCCAACCCCCAAATCTTCCCATGGGAACAGAGGCAACCGTTTTTATTTTTAGAAACCCCCTTTTTGGATACATTATCCATTTAAAAAGCAAAACACTCAGATTCTCCTGTTCCCTTTGATATGCCACCAGGAAAAAAAACCCATGGTGTTGAGAACATAAGGAGCAGCTGACACCTGCACTTGGGACATCTTTTGATCATCTCTACAGATGCGACACGTACCCATCGCCAACAGAGCTGTGTAAAAATAAATTCCTGCAACCTGATGCCTCCTTGGAGTGCTGAGCTGCCTGGCTGGCAGTGGGTTGTGGGGCCAGGGAAGAGAATGCAAGCAGTGTCTCGGTACTGCCATGCTGCTTGACTTGAGTCCCATTCCAAGGGGCTGGCTAGCACAGAGTGATGGGAACCACAACTTCATAAGCAGCTCAGGCTGGAAGTGCCCAAAAGTCATCCTGGTGCGTAGAGGGCCCCATACATGACAAGTGGGAAGGGCCTTAATTCATTTCCTAGCAGACACAGGGCATAAACCACTACCACAGCCAGCTCCTTCACTGGCAACCTTAACAGGGGAGCCAAGGACTGAATGCACTCACTGCTGTGGCAACCTGTTATCCAGGTCCCCTTTGAGGTTTGGTAGAAAGAAGATGACACTGCCAGTGTGAGATCAGCTCCGACAATGGCGGATATGTCTCCAGGGGATGGATCAATCCCAGCACTCTTGCCTAGGACAAAGTTCACTTGAGCAATGAGGAAAGAATCCCATTTTGGCTGCTTGCCATGGAGAAACAGAACAGAGGCACTTAGCAGGAAGGCAGGTGATAGTATTTTCAATTCTTCCCTTCCCCTCACCCTAGTCAGGGGGAAGGGAAATGGAAGGTAGGACATGGCTATGCTGGGTCTGGTGCCCATGGGAGACTGGATCTGGGCTGGTCTAGCTTTCCCTTTTCCCACTCAGTGCCCTTCCCGCTGGCTTGGGGGAAGGAATAAACTCTGGTCTAATTTCACTCAGGAGTTTATAGGGAAAACAGCCGTTGGTTCTTGGCATGTCGCCAGCAAACACCAACAGGGAGAGACTTGAAAATTCTGAGCCATCCATCAGTCCAGACACATGGTTCACATGCATCAGAGCACAGCAAAGTTCAGAGTCTTGCCCAAAGGATTTGAGAATCAACCAATCCCCCCTCTATATCCACAGAGGAAATCCATTTGATTTCAGTGGGACTGGGAATCAGGGCAGTGTCCCCACACCACAGTGGAATTCACTTCATTTTGGAAAGGACTCCAGATTCTCATAACCCACTGAAAATAGGTATAACTTCTGGCAGGGGTGCCCACAAGGCAGCT